AAAGACTACGATTCGCACTACGAATACAGTGGATATATGAGTCCAAAACTCTGCATATTTTACTGTGTATGTTCAAATTCAATTTGTCAAATTTTAGGCGGTCGTGAGTGACAAAAAATACAGAAGACTTTCAAAAGAAAACACGTCTTATTAATTTTCAAAACCCTAATTCAAGGATGGTATAAAAAGTTTTTACGTGGACTACAAACTTTATTACCCAAACAAGTTGTACTCTCAGGGGGGCATAACTTCGGTGTCCATGTCCGGTGATATGTGGAACTGACGTCAACGTCATATTGCTATGGCTGACCCAGGTCAACAAAGGGTCAATTATCTAGATAAAACGACCATAATCTTTAAATCACAGAGGATGTCAACAAAACAGTGATTGCTGAAGTAGACTAATATTATGCCTTAGTAAACATACGCCAACTTTCCAGCTAGTGCGTCTGTATCTTAGGCCATGTTGATTTGATTATATGGATGACATCCTCTGGGAACCCCAAAACTGATGCTCGCGTGCGAATAAAAAAAGTTTTGCAAAAAAAAGTTGCTTTCACTATGAAATCTACGTGGTCATGAAGGTTGAACAAATGGCACAGAATATGTTATGGCGAATAATCTACTCTTCGAATTCATTTCTTTACATTTTTTTCTTTTTTCCTTTGATTTTGCCATTCTACGACATTGGTATCGTTTCTAAATGTTTTCCTTGCAACTTATGGTATATTTTTGCTCATTTAGCAACTGTTTTGCACGATTTACAGTATGGTTGAAAACTGAAAACTTTTTTTTTTTGGAAACGGCCGAAAATTCATGCGCGCGCGGATGTCATCCATATAATCAAATCAACATGGCCTAACTCGCACAAACTCAACATCCCGTACTGTCGCACGACCCGTTATAGAAACTCACCATCCCCTACATGTGCCATCTGCTGAACAATGACGGACACTAATTACTCCTGCCTTAGAGTCCTCACTTATCACCATGAACTTTAGAAATATTTGTTGAAGTTTGGTTATGTACGGCAGACAATCTAGTTATCACGAATATTTGAAATATTTCTATCACATGAGCCTACCTTTTAATCGTTCTTCTGCTCGTAAGTTTTAACTGTTGTGGTGTGGTTGTAGTATGAATTTGTATTTTAACCTCCTAATGATTCTGAATTTTAACTTAATTATGTGCAATACTACAAACTTTTGGATTTTAAAATAATGAAATGTACATTGATTCGCAATTCAGTAACTTGTATTAAGTTTACTGCCATTGATCAATAAATAATTCTTGAGTCTTCTTGAGTCTTGAGTCTTTTTGGCACTACCGTACGGGACCTGGAAGGCGACTGGCGGGGTTCCCGACGGCTGCCGGCCTATTTTTGGCCCCCTGCGGTCTCAAACTTAAACTAGAGTTCGGAGGTCTCATGCCTTCGACAGTGTGATATTGTTTTGGTGGGTGTTGTGTGTGTGTATAGTGTAGGTTTTTTTGAAGATGATTATTTATCGTAGTTATAGTGGTCAGAGAGTCCTTTTGTGAACGAAGCAACAGACTATTTACCAAGCCTGTACCATGTCTTTCTACGGAAATACGGATCGTAGAATTCGGCAAAAAGGTGAGGAGAATTGGCCGCGAAAAGTTGTTTTCTTCCCTCCGATACGCGGTGATCCAAACTTCAAAACGGCAAAAACTCCTTCAACTAAATTCTTCTTCTATGCAGCCAGTGTTGTTGAAGCGTGCGATGTCCAATACAATTGCACTACAAAATCACACAAACTGGCCAATTGTTGTGATGGTATGTGGTATGTAAGATAAATGGGTTCCTCCCGGTGAGTTGTATCTCTCTAGCGGGCTAACTGACCCTTTAGCGGCAAACTATTCCCTTTATTTTGGCCGTTTTCTACTTTTTTCCAGCGATCCATGGTGCCTGGTAGAAAGTTAGTCTTCCTCCACAAGGAGAAACTCATTTATCATATATGCCTTACTTGTTAGAGGGACCGTCGTATCAAACTTTTAGCAGGAGACAGCCCGACTTTCTATTCCAGCCCGGATAGTGGTATAGATTAGCCCAGGTCCTCCGGGGACGTCCCCAGAGGTACGACTGGCAGGGCTGAGGTCAGCCTCGGGTGACCTACCTAACCGTCCCAGTCTATCCTGTCAATGCAATTTATCCTGGATAGAATTCAAATAAAATATGTATCCTAGTTGCAATTTAACGTTAACAATCTTCAATTTTTGAGCTGGTAGTTATTTACTGGTTATTTCTCAGGTTGGCGACGCAGTTTGGCTATGTTAGTTTTCTTGTGGGGGCCCACCGGACCATACTGTAATCCACAGAGGGTGGAAACCAAAAAGGTCTAGTGCAGTATGAAAGACATATAGATTTCTCTTATTAATTAATCAAATTGGGTCACAATTTACATAATTAATATCTGTCAATGTTCCTCTTCCTCTTGATTAAATATGCCACCATTTTAATTGTTCTATCATGGAACGTAGCAGATTTATAGACTTTTGTCATTAATTATGAAAATTAGATCGTGATTTGCATAATCGTCATCTAATTAGGTAAAGCATCACTTAAGCTACCGAGATATAAAAAAGAAAAAACAATCCGTCAACCGGTTCTTGAGCTATCCTACTTCAAACATTTTCAAACAAATGCCTCTGCATTTCCCAAACAAGCTGCTACGGAGCCCAAACTTACGGCACTTCTTTCTGAGCACGAGAGCTACCTACCATCTAAAAATCATGACCCTAGCACGTCCAGATCACGAGATTTAAAAACCAGAAGTTTCACTGCAGTACTTTCTAATTCAATGACGTGGGGACCCCCCACGAAGCCCATATCCGAACTTGACCTTGGTATTTTCAATGGTAACTTGCCAACTAAAAAACATGAACATCCATTTAAAGATTCTCGAGTTATCTTGTACACAAGAAAAAACACAAAAAAACAAAGGTCAACTGCAGTGACATAGAAACCCCCACGGGGCCCATCTTTGAACTTGACCTCGGCATTCTCAACGGTAACTTGCCCACTAAAAATCATGAACATCCATTTAAGGATACTCGAGATATCTTGTACACAAGGAAACACCAAAAACTAAGGTCAACTACAGTGATGTAGGAACCCCCCACGAAGCCCATTTTTGGCCTTGACAATGGCCACCCCCAAGACAACCTTCCTGCCAAAAATCGTGAACCTCTGACCTTGCCTTCAAGAGTTATCGTGCCTAATCTGCCAAAGAGTGCAAAAGCGATTTCATAGCCTTCTCCGAAGGCATAGCCTTCAGTCGAAGGCAAACACCATCACCCCGGGCCCTGGCGGGAAAAGTACGCCGTGACGAAGCCGTAACCTTGCCGTAACCTCACCGCCGGGTCCCGCCAGGCGGCCGCACAGGCACCGGTCCAAGATTATGACGTCACGAGCGCTGATCTGTGCTTTAAATGTTCAGAAGAAGGTAGTTATTGAGGGTATTCACAGGAAGGATTAAAGTCGCAATGATGTTCTCGACATAGTTCCATCATCAGTGAGTCGTTTACGTAGTGACCATACACGGGTCTGTGCTTCAACCAGGGGCGAACCCACCATATCAGCCATGCAGGGGCGTACCAGCCTGAGACCCGACAATATCACCCCTGGACCCCGGGACCCCGCCAGGACCAAAGGTACAAGTTCAACAAGGCTTCATCAGGTTAGTTTTCATCATGGAGGTACTCTCTCTCTTCTACCTCCATGGTTTTCATCGTTCAAAACCCATTTCTCATCGTTCAAAACCCATTTCTCGTTCAAATTCCCTTTCTCTTCGTTCAAAACCCATTTCTCTTCGTTCAAAACCCATTTCTCGTCGTTCAAAACTTATTTCTCGTCGTTCAAAACCTTATTTCTCGTCGTTCAAACCCTTATTTCTCGTCGTTCAAACCCCATTTCTCGTCGTTCAAAACTTATTTCTCGTCGTTCAAAACTTATTCTCGTCGTTCAAAACCAATTTCTCGTCGTTCAAAACCCATTTCTCGTCGTTCAAAACTTATTTCTCTGCGTTCAAAACCTTATTTCTCGTCGTTCAAAACCTTATTTCTCGTCGTTCAAAACCCATTTCTCGTCGTTCAAAACTTATTTCTCGTCGTTCAAAACCTTATTTCTCGTCGTCCAAACCCTTATTTCTCGTCGTTCAAACCCCATTTCTTGTCGTTCAAAACTTATTTCTCGTCGTTCAAAACTTATTCTCGTCGTTTAAAACCCATTTATCGTCGTTCAAAACCCATTTATCGTCGTTCAAAACCCATTTATCGTCGTTCAAAACCCAATTTTTTATCGTTCAAAACTCAATTTTTCATCGTTCAAAACCCAATTTCTCGTCGTTCAAAACCTTATTTCTCTGCGTTCAAAACACTCATCCCCAGGATACTATTGGTT